GTGCTAGATTTGACAAGTGTGCACCACACCTAACCCACTAGACTCACCTAAGTCAAGCTACCCGTCCATACCCCCTTAATAGTACGGCCAAAGAAAAAACAAAGTCCTAAACTATTCTAAGTGTCTATTCAACTCCAAATAACACTTAGAACTAGTCCATCCTTAACCTTGTCGTCAATCCTTTGAAAACCGAAACGATTTCCATCGTAGGGGCATGACAACCATGATTGCCTAATCAATTGTCATTACCATGACCTAACTTAATTGCATCTGTAAAATACACGTTAGTCACAGTAATCTCGTATTGTCATTAATCAACGAAACTCAACTAAGGGCCTAGATGCTTTCAATTCTTTTTATTTTTCTTTCTTTTCATCTTTTATTTTTTATTTTTCTTTCTTTTCTTCTATTTCTTTTTTATTTCCTTTCTTTTTCATTTTTGGTGGTCTTTATATTTTTTTTGTTTCCTTTTTCTATTTTCATTTTTCATTGAATGTTTTCCTTTTCTTTTTCCTTTCCTTTCATTCATTTATTTTTTTTCTTTTTTTCATTTTGTTTTCTTTTATTTGTGCTCCCTTTTTATTTCTCTTTTATATGTGGCCCTTTGTCCTTCTTTTCATTTTTTTCTACTTTTTCTTTTTTATTCATTTTCTTTTTTCCCTAATAAATAATTTTTTATTTTATTTTTAGTTTTCATGTTTTTCCTTTTTTCTTTTCTTTTCTTCTATATACTTGTCCTTTCTCTTTTTATGTTTTCATGTAGATTATTCATTTTGGTTTTTATTTTTTATTTTTATTTTACTCTAATTATTTTTTATTCTAACCATTTTCATGCTTCAATTTTTTGTTTTCTTCTTTTCATTTCATATGTTACATGAAATATATTCAATGTTTCATAGTATATATGTGATCTTTTCCAATTTTCTTTATGTTTAGCATTTGTTATTTAAGTTTTTTTATATTTTTGTAACTTTACTCTAATTAATTACTTTAATAATTTTATCTTTTACTTTTTTATTTCCAGATACACGTGATGTTCACGTAGTATACTAGTGATGTTCTATGATTTAAATTGTCATGTTTACGTAGTATACATGCGATGTTCTATGATATATTTTTCTGATGTTCATGTAGTATACATGCGATGTTTTACAATATATTTTGTGATGTTCACGTAATATATATGTGGTGTTCTATGCTTTATTTAGTGATGTTCGTGTAGTGTTAATGTGATGTTCTACGATGTATTCTGTGATGTTCGGTAGCATTTTTCCTCTTTTTACTCGACTATAATTAATTACTTCACTAATTTAATTTTTATTTTTTATATTTTATGATATATATATGATGTTCGTGTAGTATATATAGGATGTTCTATGCTATTTTGCTGCGATGTTCGTGTAGTGTTGATGTCATGTTCGATGATTATCTTTAAATACAGGTTCATTATGAGATAAATGACCATTAAAATTTTTATCGAAATATATCGATGTGGGATCTTGTTTTGAAGAGTTTGTTGCAAGGAACACGATGGTACAATCGGATTTTAATTAGGATACTTGGTTTAGGAGATATGGTTTTTTTAACCTCAAAAAGTATGGAGCAATTTCAACTTTTAGTGCATGTTTGTTGTATGGTCTGCTGTTTGGCCCAACAATACATTTGAATTGGGCCCAATTTTGGTGCATAGGTGGGGGAGGAAATTATTTTTATTGGAGGGGGGGCTTTGGCGGGAGTGCCCCTGCCACCCAGGTCGGCAGCTAGGCCCCCCCACCTCACCGGCGGCCTCCGTGTCCGCGCCCCACCGGCTCCTCCACGCGCGGCCATCGTGGATGCGGTGGCGGCGACAATGAATCTGTCGGATCCGATGGCAGGTAGGCCTTTCCTCCTCCTCCTTCTCTTCTCTCTCCTCTCCTCCTGGATCCGCTTTTCTAGGGTTCCGGCGAGCTCTTCCCTTTCTTCTCTAACTCCGGTGGGGTATAGAAGGGCCAGCTGGGGGGAGGCAAGTAGGCCGGGGAGGTGGGGAAGGTCGACGGGCGGTTTAGGGGAGCTGGCGGCGGTCGTGGCGGCCGGGCCATGTCAGGGCGGGGGAGCTCCGGCGGCGGCGGCGGCGGCGAGGGGAAGAAGGTGGTGCCACAAGCGACCCTAGCTCACCGCTGCGGGGCGACGTAGTTGGGGAAGAGAGTGTTGCTGAGTTGTTTTTTTTTTTACTCAAATCTGTGCAACAGAGGTGTGCGCGCTGGGAGTTGAAATCCTGCGCGCGCACGCTCTAGCAAGTCCAACAAAGATATTTTGTTTTGCTGGATTGTACAAATCATATTCTTGCAAAGTAACCTTTACCACTGAAATTATTTACTTATTATTAACGAAGATATTGTACCTAAATGTGTGACTCCGCAAACTCCCTAGTCCCTACCATGCAAACGTATTCTGGAGACTGGTAAGACAACAAGGACCAAGCGCCAACAATTACCGTCTCAGGCAGGTGCACGATAAAACGTATTGCAAACTTATCCCACAATCAGACGAATTGGAATAAGAGCTATTTGCAACAGGCAGGAAATAAACAACTGAAGCCCAACTCATGTGAACTCAGATTTGCAGTTTAGCAAAGTGAACAAAAGCAACAGGGGGATCATGTCATCTCATAATCTTTGACATCACAATGGTAGACAGATTTCAAGGTACCCTAGAAACAGTTGTCGGCTCAAGACATACTAGAACACAGCTACAAGAGACTAAGCCATTGATCATCACCATCGACAAAAATATCTTCCCTTGTTTACAGAAGAGTGGATCACTTCTGTTTCAGAGTTACTTGGAGGAAGTCTTGTCTTTGGTCTTCTGTAGTTTCAACACCTTCTTGACAATCTTCTGCTCTTCAACCAGGAAAGCACGGATGATCCTGCAAGCATGTGGGGTTACATAGACAAGTTAGGAGGTTTGCAACTTTAGGGTTATCAAATCCAAAGGTACTGAAACTATTTGCTAACCTTTCTCTAACTGCAGTTCCAGAGAGCACACCACCATAGGGACGGTTCACAGTTCTGCGGTTCCTAGACAACCTGGACCTTTTGTACTCAGCAGGCCTCAGATGGGGGATCTGAAAATGGAAACCATCACGGTGTGAGCAATCAAGATGGACTGCCATATCACAGACAAATAATAATAAGGCAAATTGTAGAACATGAGAACACATTCTCCAGAAACAAATCAAGCATAGCATCAAAACATACCATGTTGAAAAAAATTAAGGGTTTCACAATATAGAATTCCAACAAAATATGAATCAGTAACCATTTTCCTAAGAGGAAATTCATGGTAATGCAACAATGTCAACATTGACTTCTTTGCTGCGGTGCATATTTTATTATTTTTTCCATTAGGAACTAGAATGACAATGCCAACCTCACTGGGAGTGCATAATTTGATTAACTGAACTCAAGAAATACTACCAAGATTGCATCCTCAAACGTTTCAGCTGTAAGATCTCACACCAATAAGATAAATACAGAAATCAACATTCAAATTACCACTGTACAAACTATCAAGTGCGCATATGAAATACTTACCTATAAGGTTTGCTGTATAAGAATCACCACTGTACAAACAAACTAGTACTCTCTCCATTCCAAATTATAAGTTCTTTTACTTTTTTGATTCATCAAATTTGCTGTATCTAGACATAACATATGTCTAGATACATAGCAAATTCGATGTGCCAATAATATTATCAAAGCAATGTGAAATTGTTGCTGGACATCTGACACCTTACAATAATAGAATTAGGGCCTGTTCGGCTGCAGCAAACAGAGCTGCAGCAGCCATCTGCTGCTGCTACAATGCCCCACTGAGGAGGCTTGCAGCATATTTCGACCGGATATATATGGTGAGCCACCAATCCATTCCAACTGAAAGGCTCCATTACACAACAAATTACAGAGTTCGGGAAACAAATTCCATTCTATGAATTTCATGCATGTGCAACAAGTATTGCAGGTTGCGCCCAAATTTCACCCGTTTCTATCTACACTAAAAAATGCTAAGCATTCTAAGGTGACCTAAAGATCGAGATGAACAACTAATTCCACTAAATTTTACGAACAGATTACCCACCAACTTCAACACCCCGATTTCCCCACCACCGTACCTACTCCCAACACAAATCGCCCTACCAAAGCCGCAAGACTAACCGAACAATCGTGTTATGCTGAGAAAGTAGTATGTTATGCTGTAAAGAGAAGTTGCAACTCACCCCCTGGATCTTCTTCCCGGTCACAGGGCACTTGGGGCCGCTGGCTCTCTTCTTGGTGTACTGGTACACGAGCTTGCCACCTGCGACCACAAGCCACAAACCGATCTAGCACATCAAAAACACAACCAAAGCAGATATCAAAGGAACCACCAAAAATGGAGTGAAAACAAAAGAGAAAATGATGGGAAGAGGAGGAGATTCGGACCAGGGGTCTTGACGACCCGCGTCTGGTTGGACTTTGTGGCATAGCTGTGCCGCTTGCGGTAGGTCAGACGCTGCACCATCTTGCCGCCGTCGCGCGCGCCGCCGGTGGATAAACCCTAGTGGGAGGCTGGAGCAGAGAGGCTAGGAGAAAGAGAAGCGACGGCGTGGCGGCGGCAAGGGGTATAAATGGATGTGTCGCGAGGGCTGACCTAAATCGGACGGCTGGGATCTGTTTGATGAGATAATGGGCCGGACCGGAGTAACTAGGCTCTACGGGCCACCTTCTCCAGGTTGATGTTCCACGGCGCACCTCTGCCGTCCAGGCCTGCTGTGTATATATATATATATATATATCTCTCTCTCTCTCAGGTAACACATCCTGCATTAAACTTTATTCCTAGGCAAATCGCCCAATACAAGATTCATTACATGCAAAGGCACTTGGCTTATTAACACATCTGAGCCACACTCCACCGCATAAGCTCCATGGTCAGCTAAAGAATCTGCCACCTTATTACATGATCTATTACAATATGAGACATTACAAAAAGAAAACTCTGATAATGTCTCGTATCTGAACCACTAAAGCACCAATTATGCTTCGGTCTAAACTTGGCGACTTGAGGGCATTAGCAAGCACTATGGAATCCGTCTCCAAGATAATTCTTGTCATTCCTAGTTGAGCTGCATGGAGGACAGCCTTGTAGGCCGCAATTGCTTCAGTATGCAAGGCCGATGAAGCATAAGAAATGTTTCCAGCTCCAGCCACGAGCACCTCTCCATTCTTGTTCCTCACCACAAATCCATATCCTCCAATTCTCTTATTTGGATCAAAAGAGCCATCGGAATTGATCTTATAGATATCCTCTTGTGGAGGATTCCATGAACATCCAGCAGCAGCAAGCGTCACTTTCTTTTCAATTTTGTGTAACTTTTCAAACTCCATCAGGAAGAATGATACAGAACTACAAATCTCAGTTGGATTCGCCATTCTCCCACCGTCATTAGCCTTGTTTCTTGCCGACCACCATCTCCAAAGAAAGACAAAAACTTTTATTTGAATGTTCATCTCTAGCTCCCAAATCTTATTAATTAGTTCAGTTCCTGATCGGCAGTTCACCAGCTCAGATCTTATATCCTCCATATTCAAAAGGCGCCAACATATCTTTACATACTTACATTTGAAGAAGATGTGCCCACAGTCTTCATCTAGCCTTCTGCAAACTGGATAAATGGTATCAAATTTTATCCCACGCCTGGCCAAATTTCTTCTAACAAGAAGGCTGTCATGTGCAAAACGCCATATGAACATTTTTACTTTGTTGGGAGCTTTAATTTGCCAAATCTTAATCCATTGGAATTCACTCATGCATCCACCTGCACATCCAGAACTAGAAGCATCCCTTCCTGTACGAGCATCTCTTTTTTCCACAGCAAGCTTATAAGCCGATTTGACTGAAAATACCCCCTTCGCATCAAAATGCTAAGCAGGCCAGTCCTCCATATTCACATTAATTAGAATCCTTAAGATCTCAGCAGCATCCTCGGGCCAAAAAAATATCACAGATTAATTTCTCATCCCATTCACTTGTTGGATCTATAAGCTCACTAACTCTTGTCAGCAAACATGACCTCCTAGGTGTAACCGGTTTTCTTGTTGTACCTCTGGGCAGCCATGGGTCTTCCCATATTTTCACATTTTCCCCATTCCCAGTTCTCCATATGAGCCCATCCTTTAAAAGTTTGGCCCCTCATCCAGGCTCCTGGATCACCAAACAAAGGAAAAAAAGAAACAAAGAAAGAAAGAAAGAAAACGTGGAAACATCGTTCTCGCAACAAAACAGCATCAGCCAGCTTATCAGCCGTAAAAATTCAGCCGAGCAGCTTGAATATAGCTTGGCTACGGTTAGGCGGGCCAACCCTTCCGCGCGCCTTTGACCGCGGAGCGCAGAGCGCAAACAACCCCTAGCGGCTACGAGTGACCACAGACCCTCTTGCTGAGTTGCTGGCCAGCGGGAGGCAACGGTGGCTAGACGGGGATGAGACAGTCGCAACTCGGGAACAGGCGGTGCTTCTATGCCTGGGCCGGTTGGGAGTAGAGAACTTGGCTAAACGTCTAGGGCGCCACTTTAATTTGGACCAGAAACTTACATGTATTACAGTCCTCTATCAATTTAGATTTGGGTGTATATTTTCTTCTTAACTGATGAAAACCCATCTAGTTGCCTCATAGGTCTGGTCACATTTTTTTGGTTAAAATGGAGTTCTTGATTCCTCTCTCTCTCTAGGTGAAATGGGTAAATTCGAAAGCTTTCCGATTGCACCCTACTAAGTGAAAGGTGAATACATTTATGAGAATTAAGCATACCTATTGCATACATCTTCTAGGGTGCGTTTCGTTCGTGGCCAAGCATTAGCACACCACGGGTTAAACGCGCCATCGTTTCTTAGGCTGCTGTTTAGTTCTCTACCATAATTGTAGCTTGATACACTTTTGGCACACCTGTCATTGACCCATTTCGTTACCACATCATAACTAATAAGGTGCCACTAACAAATTGTTAGCCACACATTTAGCAAAGTTTGTCAAAAAAAACGATGTGGCAATGTGTGGTCATTATCAAACACATCCTGAACGCTACCAATCTGTATCCCTACACGTCCGTTGAGGTTTGCCACCCTAAGATCTACTACTGTCATAGCTAGTACTGCTGTCTACTGTTGAGCCTACTCAGCTGCACCTCAGTTTCGTCAGCTTTCAGTTATGAGATGCGTGTTCCTGTTCATGGGTACAGTGCTGTACAGTGTTTGCAGCAAGTACTTGAGTTGTTAGATCAACTAATGTGAGGTGGTCACTATGTGACTCTTATGGTGAACAGAAAGGGCATAAGAACTGCTCGTCCAGGGCCAGGAATGGCAGTGCAGTTAAAAATTGTCTTGCAGCCTTGCAACACAGTTGGGATGGACCAGTGGCAAAAGGCGGTTCCTTCTACTGAAGAGGAAATGGAGTATGTACATTGCGATGACTGTAATTTCTAGGTGATGTAGGTATCATGGAAGCGCCATGCATGGGCTCTGTAAGCTGTGGCCTGTTTATGAAGTTACAATTATAATTATGAACCTACGTATATAAGAAACTGAATTACCAAAAAGTTAAAAAAATTTCCTACACCCGTGGATTGATTACATGGTGAAGATTTTTTTTTTATCGAGCAAAAGGGAGCAAAAGAAAAGAAGAAAACATATATATGTACTCTCTCAACAGGGAAACAACAAAAATGAAGCCTCCCTGTGGATCTTCCTATCTACCAGTATGATCTTGTCGAGCTTCGCCTTGCACCACTGCAGCTGCTCGCTGGTGATCCTCGGCATCCTCAGCACCCGCGCCACCAGTTTCATGTCCACCTGCGAGAAGAAGAGGTTCTGGTTCGATCTGTCCTCCTTGGGCTTCTTAAACTTCTTCACGATGCAGTTGCCGGTCCTGAGGAGGTCCTTGAGCCTCTTCTCTTTCTGCACACCATTCAGATACAACACACACATCGTCACGCAACAGGCACTCCTACACTTACTGCTAGCAACTGTAGCAAAAAAGATATTTTGCCTGCAGCCCTGCACTGTGTCGCAACCTTACCTTCTGTAACGTGGAATTGATGTGCGCCATGAGATCATGATCCATGGGGTCCTGGACTTCGACGTGGGTGCTGGACAGGCCCTTGAGCACCGATGTTGTTGTCGTCTCGACTCTGTCGGCCTTGATGAACTCCCACATGATGTGCATCGCCTCTTCCATGATGTCCTCCAGCTCCTCACTGGTTATCACGTAGTTGCCCTTGCGCTGATCCTCCATCCTGTCCTTCAAGCTGTCCTCTGTAACCCAAAATGCATGCATCAGGGTCAATGTTCCTTTTCATCGAAAATTCAGTACAAACATGGACTACAAACTAATCTCAGCTCTGACTGAAGTCTGAAATGGTCCTAACCTTTAATCACGGGCACTTGCAAGAGATTGCGAAGAACACATCGGTTGTTGATGTAGTTTGGCAGCCTAGGGCCTTTGAACGATTCGTCCTCGACGAACCTCTGCACCACGACCTGAAACTGCTGGAACTCTCCGGCCACCTGGTTGTACTGGTGGCTGTGGTAAGGGTCAGACTCCGGGAGGTCACGGGCCTGCTCATACTGCCACCGGAGGAACTCCCATGACAGGCACATTTGGCCGACGTACACCGTCTCCAGATCATAGCGGAGCTCCTTGAGGAACCGCTCCGATGGGTCCTCGGGAGATCTCCGACGAGATGACCGAAAATTGTGTGACAGGATGGATGCCACCGTAGGCGACAGGGACTTTAGAGAGTTGCTGGACTGCTGGGGCCCTCTGAGCTGTAGGAAATCTGCATCCAAAATTATGTCATTTTGGGTTTTTATATATATGGGTTTTATGTGCATAAAAAAAAATTATGTGCCTGAAAAGCCAAACCAATCTATAATTTGCGACAGAGGAGTACTTAACAAGTCTCAAGGGTTAAGAAGTCTTAAGGGTTAGATGACTAGATGCCTTAAAAAGCTTTCTTTTCTTGATGCATGCATGTATAATTCAAGAAAATAATTGGTACGTAAATCAAGAAGAAGCTGCATCAATACTGAACTAGCTTTAAAAATGTAGGAAGCTTCATTGCCTAATTTAACTATCATAAAGAAACCCACATTTTTTCAGAGTAAATCTAGCTTAACTAGTTGGATGAGATGTGTGGTCATACCCACAATCGCTCATATTCAACTCCTTTATCAGTTTCAATGAGTGCCTATTTTCTTCTAATTGATGAAAACCCACCTAGTGCCTCGTAGGTTGGTCACATTTTTTTTAAATGCAGTTCTTGATTCCTAACTCTGAGTTAAATGGGTAAAATTAGAAAGCTTTCCGATTGCACCCAACTAAATAAGTGCTAAACATTACTGGAATCAGAGATAAACAAAGGTAAATAAGTTTACGTCTGAGAAATTAAGCATACCTATTGCATACATCTTCTGGTAGCACAAAATGTCAAACTTCCTCATCCTCTCCCTGTAACTCTTGTAGAACTTGTTCAGCTCGTCCATCGGGTCTTCACGAAGGAACTTAGCATCGATCCTCCATGGCTTGAGGTCCTCCATCGGAGCCTTTGGTGTCTCCGATTCCTCGAGGATTGTGGGCAGCCCGATCGACCGGACCTTTTTCAGCTCAAGCTTCAGCTGCTCTATCAGGTCTTGGTGCTCCCACAGTGACTCTAGCTCGTCCTCCTCCTCATCTGTCAAATCCTTCCACTTCACTTCTGGATCCTCCCCATCTTCGTCATATACCTTTGCCTTCCCCGTGACTGAAATGTAGGCCTGTCGAGCTGCATTGTCCAAATGATCATTTGCACTGTCTTGTTCCTCATATTCTCTGGTCTCTGAAATGTTTTTGGCGTCAGGAACTACTCCATTTCGATGGTCGGTTAGACTGAATCCTTGCTCTGGAGTCTCTGGGATGCTCTTCTCATCAGAAACTGCAGCATGTGGATGATCATTTGTAGTACTGAAAGTCACTTTCTTCTGATAAGAAATAAGATCGTTTGAACGATCAGTTGTGCCCACATATTCTTCCTCTGCAGTATCCAGGCCTTCCTCATCAGTATGGGCCCCTTGGAGTGGCTGATCGTTTCTACTGACAATCTCTTTCCAAACATCAGAAATAAGCTCATGTGAGTGACCTCTCGTACCAACAAATCCTGCCTCTGGAGGCTCCGGCCTTCTTTTGTCATCAAAAACTATTTCATATAACTGATCGCTTTCGCTGGCAGTTTCCTTCTGGTCGTCAGAACTGTGCTCAAGTGAATGATCAACCATACCAATAAATTCCTGGTCCGATGGCTCCGGACTTCTCTTTGCTGGGCCAGCATCTTGATCTGATGGTACAACAGCTAATTCTCTCACAGAGACTGCCTCTGGACTTCTTTGAGCATCAGAAGCCGCTTCACCTCCTGAGTGGTCATTTAGAGTGATGATTTCCTTCTCCGAATGATCCATACAGTCGTCAGCAACAGGGGGCAGATCATAGGCTGGTGCAGATTCTACCTTCTTTCCGCCCGATGAGTGCTCATCATCATCGCTCATGTCGATGCCCACTTCCTCTTCCGCCGTGCTTCTCTGTTCGATGTCCTCATCATACTGTGCTTCAGCTTCTGTTGTTACCTTCTCCTCGTCCTCTTTGTACTCGACGTCCGGCGAAGGGCTGCGAGACCACATGTCCTCAGGGAACTTGGGAGAACCATCGGGAATGGTGTCTGGTGAGCCCTGCCGGACCGAGCCCGGCGACTCTGTCGTCGCTGAGTCCTGGTAAGACGGCTCCAGCTTGGACGCCGCCTCCAGGGCTTCGATCGCCTTGAGCACCTTGGCCTTGTAGCTTTTGAGGTTGCCGGAGTCGCGGGCAGTCGCCGGGAAGTCCTTCTCCGAGAGGAACCAGTCGCTGTCTGAGTCGACGACGAGATCCTTCACCGAGTAGCCGTCGCTGGCGCTGGACTCGGAGTCGGAGTCGCCGAAACCGGAGAATTCCGACGCGAAGCTCATCCTGGCGCCGACGGCGCCGCCGCCCATGGACGCGATGGACGGGGAGCTCGCCGGCTTCGGCTTCAGCGATGGCGCCCTCTTCCCGGACGACGCCACGCTCTCGCACACGTCGGGCTCGTTCGCCGGCCGGAAGTCCCTCTCCGTGAGGAACCGGCCGCTGCGGGAGGAGACGTCGACCACCCGTCGCTCCTCGGGCTGGTGGTGCGACGGAGGCGGCGACGGCGGCACGAAAGACTCCTGCACGCGCACCGTCATGGCCTCCGGCTCCCTGACGAACCCCCGGAAGTCACGCTCCGTCAAGAACTGATAGTTGTGCGTGGTCGCGACAATCTTCGGTGGCGATGCCTCCTGCACAACCTCTCTGCTCTGCTCTTCTACCTCCTGTTCCTCCACCACGAACTCTGCTTCCTCTGCTTCGCGTGGGCGTTCGTGCTTCTCTGCCGATTGCAACGGAACGGATGGTTCCTTCTCTTCCTCTCGTTCTCCTTCATCCTCTTCTCTTGCTGCTGTGAATTCTCTCGAAACCACCGCCGTCTCTTCTCCTCTTGCTGCTGTGAATTCTCTCGAAACCACCACCGCGGCCTCCGTCGGAATTTCGGGCATCTGGTGCTGAAACTTGAAGCTGAGGCTCGCCGCCGTCAACTCCGGCGACGGCGCAAACGGCTCGGGCGCAGCAGGAGCGTGCGCTGTGCCGCCGGCGTCAAAGCCGTTGTAGTCGTACGCGGTCATACCCTCCATGTAATCCTCCTCGGTCGCCTGCATGAAGCTGAAACTGCGCATCATCTCCAGAACCCGGTCATCTCCCCTGCCTGACGCCTCCCTCTCCTCGGCACGGCGCGCCTTCTCCCTCTCCTTCCTCTCCTCTCCTTCTCATCGGCCCTGCAAGAGCGACAAAGCGCATCAACAATCGACACGATCGATCAGAACCCAGGGTTGAAGAAAGTTTTGAGTTTTACCTGGAGCTGGAGGGCTTGGACGAGCCAGAGACGATGTGGATGACGGCGACGAGCACGACGGTGAGGAACCAGAAGAAGAGGGCGAGGTCGAGTACCCCACCACGGTGCGGACGAGTCCATACGAGCCGTTGGCCGCGGCGGGGCGCTCACGCCCGCACGGCCGCCTCCTCCACCTCCGGCGTCCATGGCTGGACCCGCGACCATACGTCCCCTCACGCCAAACTCGCCATGAACGGAAGCCAGATACGTAGCGGCGAGGCAACGGGACGGGACGAGCTACCGATCGACCCTACTACCGCGCGCCGCTCACTTTCTACACCGCACCGCGGAAGAAGAGGGCGAAGAAAACAACGCGTCACCAGCTGTATCGAGCGGGCAGTGGAGACGAGAGGAGGAGGTGGAAGAAAGATAGAGGGCAGCAGGCCCGGGGGATGGAGAGCGACTGGCTCGATCTCGATGGGGCTCCGACGGCGAGGGCGGGGCAGGGCGGCCGGGCTTCAAAAGAGAGACCGCGTCGCGCTACAGGGGTCGCACCTACACATTGACGTGACGTGACGCGCCGCGCGGAACCGCTACACAGACAGACGGAAGGCGTGCGCGCACGCCGGCCGAACCCGCCCGACCCGCCGTCCGTCGGATCGCACAGATCAGACTGACTCGCGATCAGGAGGCCGGAGAGGCCCTTGCCGGTGTCCTTCGGGGCGGCGGCGGGAGGGACGGCGGGCGCGTGTACGCGAAGGACCGGGCGGGTGGGGCGTCTGCTTCGCGTGCGACCAGGTGTCGCGCGGGGCTTAGGTTAATGTGGTGGAGGCTGACTCGGCCAAATAACAACCTCTGACCGGCCGAACGCCGGTGCGGTGCCGTCCTTATCCTACACCTTCCATTGAACGATTGGTCTTGATGGAATCCACCTCAGGTGCCAAGAAATGCAAGGAGTTTTTTTTTTTTGAGATGTGGAAGGAACTTAATTTTCTACACCTTAAAACTTCCAATGATAACTGGGTATTAATATAAGGCATATTTCAGCATCGCGTCATTGGTTGCCTTTCTTGCCGAGTGATAGCGTCAGCACCTTCCATTAGGAACTAGGATCATTTTATTATTATGATTTGCCTTTTCTTATAGCAGAGAGATTCTTGTCACGCAATAATGAATTGCCCCCCCATCAAATGCGTGTGGGATATGAGATTCGCTTCTTTTTATGGTGCATCCGTGAGGATTTGGAAAAGGATGCTCTGGAGTTCACTCATGTCTCCTTTAGGTCGCCATCAGCGATCCTTAGTCTAGTCATCAATACTCGTAATGCACATAACCTTTTCCCCTAATCTTGGTGTTACACTCCCAAGTTGCTAAGGAATTTGGGTACAAAAAATAACACATCTGTTTAACCTACAGCAAATTATTTCATGATTCCAAGCTATGTTTATGTTACTTACGACATTTACTAATAAATATGCCCATGCGTTGAACGGAAGGAAAACAAAGTTATCAAACATTATTGATGACAAACAACAATGGGAATGGCACTACTTGTGTTTTATTATTTTTATAAAATTTAAAGGCTATAATTTATTTATGATGACCATGACATCCATAATCTAATTTAATTAATATTGACAATAGTATGGCATTGTTCTATCAATTAAATTATGGCATTGATAGATTTTGTTCTCTTATTGTAAAGTACAGAAATATTTACTCATAAATACGTCATAACTTTAATTTTAATACTATCCAACTGTGGACCATCGATTGGTACAAGTTTTATGTTCGGCTGCCTGTTTTTCCAGTAGCAGCGGTGCTCCTGTCAGTGCTGTCCCTGCAATTGCAAGTCACTACAGAAGAAGGACAACCGAACAGTATTAATAAAAATAAGTTTTGTTTTTAATTGTAACTCCATTAACAATTTAGTGGTGGATTTTTTTTCTATTACAGGGAAGGATCAGCGGTTCAAAGATGAAAAAAGCAGAAGAAATCCCAACGTAAGGAAGCAAAGAAAAAAACAAATTCCCATATGGACTGTACTCGCTGACGAAGAAGCAGAAAAAAAAACTCGGACGAACCATAGTCGTAGCCTAGAGGCCGAAAACAAATTGGCAGATAGATTGAAGGACCAAACCTAATCATGGACTTAGAAACTTACTCCCAAACCAAAGGCAAAGCACGTACCATGATGAAGAAACCACTCGCGGATTGATAATTAGGGTAAAATAACTATAATTACATAATCATTTAGAAGCAATTAGTACACTACTATAAATTGATTTATCACCATCGTCACTTTCACTGCTGTAGCGATAAAATCATCGGTGTGATACTTCCACCGTCAGTGGGACCGATAGGGAGGCCTCCTCAGGAAGAAAACCAGCAGTTGAAAACCATCAATGCGGTGGTAGTAGTGGGGTTGAATTCTACCGTCGTTTGGAACGCCGAACCGACTGTGATAGGCGTTATGGCCGCCGGCCCTACATGACCGTTTGGTGTACCGGCGGTAGTAAATTCAGCGTGAGTTATTTCCCCATTTCCCAACTACCCACAATACAGTTGCATCACCATTACTTTCCTATGGAGTATGCCTCATCTTCCCTGATGCTTATATTATCTGCTCCTCTCTGCTTCTCTATCTTCGAGGTTGGCCTATTTAAGCCGGGGCTGGATACGCTTCTTGGCAGTCCACACACTCATTTCTCCTTACATATTAGATACAAATAGATACAGACAAAGCTCTTGAGCCAACCAGCTATATTTTCTTCATCGCCATGGCGCTCCTTCTCTAACTCCTTCGACGGCGGCGGCGGCGTTGGGAGACGGCCTTCAAGATTAGATACTACTGGCATATATGCGCAGCGGGGGCTGCTCGATCTCGGTGCTAGTGGAAGTTTTGTGATTAAGGGGGTTTGCTTATTTGGGCAAGCCAAGGGGTACTCAATACACTTTGGTATCCCTGGTTTGCCCTGCGCATTTCTTGTGCCGATTTACCATCCGGTGCTCTGGCGATCCTCCTTCCTCTAGAGCAGCAGCGATGGCGGCGGCGCTTCTCTTCCCCGCCTGGCACCTCCTCTTCTTCAATGCCTCTATCTCCCTCGTGCTCATGATCATGAGAGGTGCAGCAGGGAAGGTAAAGCACCTCACTGAAATGCTCCTCTTCTTGCCTCTATCTCTCTCGCGCTCGCAACCATGAGAGAGGTGCGAAGAACAGAAAGGTAAAGCACCTCACTGAAATGCTCTTCTTGCCTCTATCTCTCTCGCGCTCTCACTGAGATGCTGGTGGAAGTTTTGCGAGGTGCTGCCTCGTCCTTAGCTTGCAGTGCCTGTCTCCAACTCGACTATGGGATATACCTGTACTCGATAGGTCTTTGTTATTGTACACCCAGTAGTCTTTGATTGGTCTTTGTTATTGTACATCTGTGGAATATAACTGAAGTTATCAATGAAATTACTGTGATGATTGTTACGGTGTCATTTATATATAGTCTTTGTCATAAAAACAATCAATAATTGAATGGTTGTGATGCTTGTTACTCTATTTTTTGAAGTGTCATAGTATTTTTCTTGGCTACACAGACGTGAGCTAAAGCACCTCACTGAGATGGTGCTGGGGTGAAAGTATTTGCTTTGGTTTATTTGTAAATTAGTTTGTTGTGTTTGCAAATTGTCATTATTGCAGCTCTCATCGCCATTTCATACGGTGATTTAGCGTTAGTGTTAGATCGCAAAGTGCAGGGAATCAAATGGTCCGCGTCGTCTTCCCTGCTCCATCGTCCGCGACTCGCATGGGTGGCCGTGGATGTCACGGACCTTGGCTGTTGCCTTCTCCTCTCGTGTTTATTAGTGGAGATGACTTGAATAACTTGTATTAAGAAATTGCAAATATGTGCAAGGGAATCTGAACCACATCATATGAGAAGGAAGGTAACTGTAACGAGTTTAGAAAGAAATCGTACTTGCATATCATTGTATTAAGGAGAATGAAGAGTTTATCATACAAATCCCCGTCATCCAGATATATACATATCAACATTGATCTACACAAAATCTACCACATTGATCTAAAGAACCTATCACACTCATTGCGTATCCTACACTCCTCAATGCAGAACATAGCCCACTCCTCCCAACCTTCACATCCTGCGTGGACGCCGCAGCCTCCGCCTCCGCACTGATGTCTGTCCTAGCGACGCATCGGCATGGCCAGAGGAGGCAGAGGACTAGACTCACCCGGTGCCAGCTGCCCAACCAAGTCCTACAACACAAACATGGCCTGTTGGAGGTAGCGTGTACATATCTCATTCTTCCATGTCACATTCGCTGCTGGGCTCGCTTCATCACCTTCGACCTTCCTCAACCACTGTCGGGCAATGTTGTCGTTGCCAGCACCGCTATTGGACCTATGGAGCACAAGGGAGAGAACAAATACAGCAACATCATGGCATGCCGCGGCGGAGTGCTCAAGCATGTCAAGTCATGGCATGAGCGCGTTGCGATCTTCCATGAAGACGACGCGCATCCCAGCGTAGAAGCAGGCCTCAGGGTTGCTAACGCTAGCAAGCCTGGCGATGAGCTTGGCATGGTACTCATGGTCGTAGAACCGGTTCTAGGTCCCAAGTTGTATCCCACGCAGCAGCACCGCCGCAGTGGTATGCTCCGTCCCTCTACGGCGTCGCCGCACACCCTACGCATCTGTGAATAGGTTGCCCACATGCTGCTAGGATCTTCCATGGGATCCGCTACAGCCACAGCGATGCGGCTAGCAATCTCAATAGCCACATTCGTCGAGAGCTTCTCCATGGCATGAGGACACGCGCATCGGCTACAAAAGATGGATCC